ATTTAATTGAGATCTTTTGATTTATTGAGAAAGTAAATTTGGTTGATCGAAAAATAAATAATGTGCGGAATTATGTTTATCAAATAGTTATTGCCATTAAAACTCTTTTTGGGTTATTATGCGTTCCCAGTGATTATCTGATTGGGGTCCCTGTGTGATTCCAAAATGGCGGAAATGTTTACGTACGATGAGTTGACATCGTGCTCGTGTAGCTGACATGTCGTCCCTGATATCTCTTTTCACTATACGGAAATATGTTTTGTGTTTAACTAACAAAGCCTGTTAAAAACCATGGAACCTTAATGAGAAAGAAAATATTGACAAGAACGCAACGGTAAGTCGGTTGTTTAGGGTTTAACAGATCGAAGCTTCAAAAGTCTTTATAAAATCCTCCCTCATCATCATTTTAATCGAAGTATTATTATTATTTACTATAATTATTATGGGGGGGTCCACGAACAGGGGTCCATGGACCAGGTCCAGGTTGGTGGTCCACAGCCCCGGGGGCCGGGTTATGTACCTTCCCTTCTAAGCAGCGAATTTACASCTCAACCACCAACAGATGATGATGATGATGATGACAGTGTTGACGGTGAAGATGGCTCTGATGATCATGGGTCTACTAGTAGTAGCGAGCTTTTTTCATGTCCATCTCAAGGATGTAGTGTATCATTCAAGAGACACTCAAACCTSGAAGACCATCTAGAATATGGAAAGTGTAAGSTGCAGAGGGAAAAGTTCACCCTGGAARATAAGGCGAAAATGCTCTATGCTCAAAAACTGTCAGAAGGTGCCAGTCTCCAGCCTCGTTTAAAAGGTTCAAGCACAGRTACACGAAGCACCATAATACAGTGTCAAGGKTGGGGTCTGCGASAGGTTAAAAAMTCAGGTCGTTTCAATGATAACCAGCGGAGCTACCTGGGTGAAAAGTTTCTCATCGGTCAAACAACAGGCATCAAGTGTGATCCAWCACAGGTGGCACGGGATCTCCGCCACGCCAGAACCGATTCCGGAGAGAGGTGATTCACAATCGAGGAGTTTTTTTAACGCCACAACAAATCAAGTCATACTTTTCCAGAGAAGCATCAAAGAGCAAGCAAGTAGTTTCATCGCAGCACGAAGAATCCGATGCTATATCTGAAGAAGATCAATTGGCCTACTCRACAGCTAGAGATGATATTATCAAGGAAATAGAGCTGAGCCATCCAATAATTTATGAYACTTACGATATTTGCAAAATGCATTCAGACAAAAAACTAGAAAAACTCAGTGTTGCACTCCTAAGACTAATTTGTGCATATTTCAACATGGAAGTTGATGACCTGCCCCGACGTCGCAAGGCACCATATTTATCATTTATCAATGATTTAGTAGTCATGTTCATGCAATAATTAGACTACGTTGAGACACATTTGCTTTTATCGCAAATGGTAAATGCTATCTATTGTGAAAAGCACCGACCAAATCCATTATATTCCGCGATATTTTCTTCTTTTAAMGTCCAAGAGAAACGTGCTAYTTTTCACAAATTATGTATCCGAACTTTAGATATTCCATAGTTTCAATGGTAGTTCAAGYATGCACAATCACTTTAAAATAGGTTTTTGAAATACGTACAAAGTAATTGTTCATTTTAGGGTTCTCTTTCCGGTTGCAGTGATGDACTTTAGCTGACTGGCAAGACCAACGCAAATATTCATATTTTGTCTCAAATATTTAGCGAATGCCATTTTTTTATTATGCTGTAAAATGGTATATCTGAAGACAGTATTGAAAACCTACAAGAAAATGAGTATTTTCGTTTTGAGTGTTTGGTAGAACCAGCTCTGCCCTTAGTAAGACWGTTTACGGGTTCCCTGTGTGTAACGCATAACACAATCCAAAACCTAAGTTATGAAGTGTTTGTTTGAAACTTTATACACCCTTTTAATAAGTCCCGAGGTATTACGTTCTCCGCACTTGACGTCAAATATATTCTTTTGAATTCCTTTTGTATTGTAAAAATTTCAAAAGAATAAATTTGACGTCAAGTGCGGAGAAAGCAATACCTTGGGACTTATTAAAAGGGTGTATAGTACGTTTAATGATAATTTGTACAAAGATATGTAAACCTCATTCTTGTTGTAACCGGCCATAGACAATGCGGTTGAGAATGGAACCTGAAGACTGGCGAACATTCTAGCCGAGCGAAGTGTTATTGTTTACTGCATATCCTTCAAGATTGCCATTTGTAAGTGACAATATCAAATCAAAACTGAGTTTATTCCCACAAAAAATGGATGAATTTTGACATTTCAGTRAATTAGATTGCGTTTTGTGATGCTTAAATTATTTTTGAAGTTGCGTGACAGCCACGTGCGTGGTAGCGAACTTGACCTTTGAACGGCATATTACAAAGGCGATAAAATTACTTCTTTTGAATAGCCCCATAATTTTATTGCTGTTTTGACAAGAATAAATATAGTACTTTGCTTGTATAATAGTCACAATATCATAGTGCATGTAGCAAAGAGTGATTTTCGCTCTCAAACATAAGTATGTTTTTTGTATGCGATAAATTGCCAAATTTGAAAAATCTGTWGAATATTCGTCAATGTAACTAAAGCAAAGTTATTTATATATAAAGATTGCAAATTATCTGTTCTTTCAGGCGGTGTTTTTTGTTTGGTAAAATATTTTGWATTTAATTTTTGGTAATTTTTTTTCTAAGGTGCTCTGAAACATGGCGAAATTGGGGTCGCMGATCGAAAAARCATAAAATTGCAATTTTCCCTAAAAATAAAAATCGCTCGGGCTTTTTGGTATTTTCACTATTATTAGCTCACCTAGGGCAATGTTTGGACAAACTATGAGGAATTTTGATTTTTTTTATTTTGCATCCATTTGGTCGATTTTTACAGACGGCCACTCTTAAAAAAATTGCCTTCACATTAGTCATGCTGATAGCTTTTTAAAACTGTAGAAACATATCCATCAATGTCAGAGTCTTCACTCTCAACAAAAACAACTCGTGCTTTAATCTGCAAGCATCTGATTAGTTTGAATCTTGCTGTAAACCGTACTCCTACAAAATGATGTCCCAGGAAGCCAGAAGACCAAAAGGTATGCACGRGTCTTTTGGAGGTAGAAGTCCAACTGAACAGATATTGCTATTTGTGTTTTCAATGATTCTGATCACAGCATAACCATTATTATGCCAGTCTTTGAGGTAATACTGTACTTCTCCAAAACAGATTTCATCGTCTGACAGG